ATTATGAAGCAATGAGTAATTCTTTGGCGAAAATTTACGGTACGAATATACGTAATTTTGAATACAAGTGGCAAAGGGCAGATTAATGTTCATAAATTAAGGAGGTTGATTATTATCAGGCTATGCCAGTCCACGGTCGACAGGAGTAATACATATGTTGCTTAAGCTGGAAAGAATTAAATAAATAGTTTGCTGCTGCCGACAGTATCAAGTTTAAAAAGACACGTGGAGGTGTAAATTGCATCTCCCTTAAGTTTAGATAGAGACATATTACGTTTTCATACAAACCGGAAGTGTTAGAATATGCAACCATAACAACACGAAACTTGTATGCATGCAGCTTATTTTACAAAAAGCGACAATAATGAGCAATAATTCCTGGTTTAGTTTCAAAGGAAAAGTAATGGTTTCCAACGAGTAAGTTAAGACCGCCAAGAGTGGGGATTTCAACCCATACACATTCATCCAAGATTCTAAGTCGTACAGGGCGTTTACAGGACTGAACCGTAGAGGACATGGCAATGTGTACTCCACTGCCACGTGTCTAATGAATAGACGCCCTGTCAGAACAGAAAACTGTAGCAATTCTGAAAATAAATTTTGATCATAACACAGCTCTTTTAGAAGAGCAGACATGTTCATAAATCTTGCGTTACTTGTTCTAAGACCTCTGATCCCTCTGACGTTTTGATGACAAATGTCGAAACAGTTTCCAAGTTGGGTGCGGGACATGGATGCACCACCTGTGTTGGTGTCACGCGTGTTAACCAAGTTCAGGAGGACCCTTCCCCTGGCCTCTCTCAGTGTTTACAGATTCGCCAGGTGGGTCCGGGGGGGGGGTTGGAGGACGAAAGCTTCCTGCACGTGGCGAGGGAGGCCGAGACGTAGCTGGTGTTTCAAGAGAATAAATCTGGTCAGGATTTAATTGCTCGTAATAAGGGGCGATTAAACAGCCGTTACGCCAGAATCCAATATTATTAATAAGATGCATATCATCTCCTCCAACAGAAATATGAAATTAAGCATAGTTTTTAATCTGGTGCAAGTAAAGGAAGAAATCTGCAATTGAACGTTTATACATTTCTCAGCATCAGATGATGTTACTGTGGGGGAAATTCGAAAGCAAGAAGAGACTGTTGGGAGCATGTCACTCCCATCATGCAAATCCTCGCTTCCTTTGTGCTGTTGGCAGTAGCAACGGGCTTACCCGCTGCTCTTTAACTACCGCTACAAATTCGCCATCAGTCACAGTGGGCAACTCATGTAGACAGTTCCTAGCCGGAGCTGTGGCCGCTGTGGCACCAGGGTAACCACCCACTGTACACACATCCCTATATGATTTTGCAGTAGCGTTGTTTGCTGCGGCAGATGAAGCAACCTCACGCATTCATGGCACATGGGAGGGTGCCTGTTGTAGGACGCGTAACTGCCATTGCAACTGAACCGCTTACTGTCTCCACGTTGCAGATGTCATTTACGCGAACCTCTTCCGGCTGTACGTGAAAGAAATGTTATTCCCGATACACGAAGTAATGTGTAATAATAATAATAATAATAATAATAATAATAATAATAATAATATGCCTATTATATAACTGGCCTGGATAGCGTAGTCGGTATACCGACTGTCTATGGGCTGGACGACCTGGGGGTCGGAGTTCGAGTCCCGGTAGGGTCGAGAATATTCAGAATTGTGTCAACCGACGATCCTCTGAAACGTCGTTTCACACAAGATCTACGTGGCACCACAACTCAGAAGTCGACACTATTCATAGTCACCACTGTGAAAACCTCAAATCCTACTCAGTAGGATATTGTTTAAAAATGTTTAATCAAAACTGCCTAACGTAAGTAGCTTGAAAAGTTTTGGAAAGACAGCTACAATTGTACAGCGATATTTAATTTAATTATTAACAATCTACAATGCCGACTCTAGTATAGGTATCATGTCAATGCAGCTTGGCTGTCCTTAGCGTAACCATCACTAAGCCATCTGTTGGGGGGCATGGGACTTCCGATCAAGCTTTAGTTTAATAATAATAATAATAATAATAATAATAATAATAATAATAAGGGAAAAGTTGCCCCTGTGTTCAACTAACTAATCACTACGCCATTAAGGTATATGGGAGAGTGGATCTATAGATCCATATTTTCTTGACCTCGGCACTAGTTGGAGATGAGTGGTCAGCTTCATGCCCCTGCCGTTTTACCTCCGGGGAAGGGCACCTTATACCCTTTGGCTGGGAGGTTGGGTGGGCCACAGAGCCGGTCTGGGCGCTGTGGAGAAGAGAAAATTCTTGACCTTACCGGGACTCGAATTCCGATTCCTCGTCTGTCCAGCCCGTAGCCAATCGTTATACCGCCTACGCTATCCCGGCTCCAGTATAATAATAATAAAGTAAAGCTATCCCTGTGACAGGCCGTGAAGGCCCATAGGGCTGTGAGACGTTGAGGGTCCCACATTATCTAGAAAATGGGCTCAAATATGGCGTTAAGGTTGTCAGCCTTACGCGCCGGCCACCCTTTACTCCCAGGATAATTATTTAATTAATTCCCGGTACTCATTTCTGTTAGAGGCTGAGTCGGCTCCAGGCCCATAGTGCAGCTGGAAGGATTAGGTCAATTGAAAAAAAATCCAATGACCTCATTGGGACTTGAACCCAGGACCTTCCGGCTTGTAGCATAGTGCCTCAATCAACGACGCTACCGCGTGACCCAATATAATAATAATAATAATAATAATAATAATAATAATAATAATAATAAAAACAATAATAATATAATAATTCAGCTCTTTAATTTTACATGCTAACCCTAGAGCTACAGGAGTCATTTACAGAATTTACATAATCAAATGAAAAGTGGAGGGAACAGAGAGAGTAAAAGTAAAAGTAGTAGGCCGCGCCATAGCTCAAGCGGTTAGTCGCTGGCTTCCCACCTCGGCGGCGGTCCCGGGTCTGGTCAAGTGGGATTTGTGGTGGACAAAGTGGCGCTGGGGGCGAGTTTTCTCCGTGTACTTCGGTTTCTCCTGTCGATCTTCATTCCACCAAATTCTCCATCATCATAATCACCTGGGGCAGGCTACAATAGGCCAATCAGTGGCCGCCGTGCCGAGTGGACCTAGTTGGACTCCACCCCTACTAAGAGAATTAAAAAAAAAAAAGTAAAAGTAAAGTAGAGATATCCTTGTAACAGGCCGTGGAGGCCCACAGGGTTGTGGGATGTTGAGGTTCCAACATTTTCTAGACAGTCGGCTCATAGATGTCGGTAAGTTTGTCAGCCCTACTCGTCGGCCGCCCTTTACCCCCAAGAATATTCCAAGAATATTCCTGGTACTCATTTCTGTTAGAGACTGAGTCGACCCCAGGGCCATAGTGCAGCTGGAAGAATCAGGTAAATTAAAAAAATCCAATTACCTCCTCGGGACTTGAACCCGCGACCTTCCGGCTTGAAGCATAGTGCCTCAACCAACTACGCTACCACGTGATTCTAACTCTAGAGCTACATGGGCATTTACAGGATTAACATAATCAAATGAAAAGTGGAGGAAAGAGCAGGGAGTTGCAGGACAAATAGCACAAGTAAGATACTGTACTGCTTAGTAGATGAAGGAGAAACAAATTATAAATCACTCCGTCCAATGTGACCTGTAAGTTTNAGGAAAAACAGTTTATAACAAAATTGAACATAACAATGATTGTACTACTTGTTACCCAAATTACCCAGAAAACTGATGTAGAAGGAATGGCTGTCAGATATGTTGATTAGTAGATTCTAAAAGATTCTCACGATGGTGAATAACACCCGTAATTACGGGTTTTTTTATTCTTGTCCAACGTATGGTATTCTAAAAACTAGAGGACACAACGTTTCGGAAACCTCATCTGTTTCTGGATTTCTTAACGTCGTGTTCTCTAGATTTTTATAATACCGGACAATGGACGTAAAAAAAAAGCAAACCAGTAATTCCGAGATATATTGACATTATTAAAGATTTCTTTCGCCAAAAGGCGCAGAAGACAAAAACGTCATTCTTTACCTGAAAATGAAGCAGAAAATATGTGAAGTTATTCATATTTCTAAGTGGAACTCTGATAGAGACCAGCAGAAAGGCACATTATATTTTGCATACATATTTATGTATGAATTATGATTATGGCGCAGTCCGTTGTAAGTTACCGTAGAAAAAGTTCTTTGGACACATTTTAGTTTGTTTAAATCAGTTCATCGAAAGAAAATTCCAGACAACATAAGAACTCCATTATAACTACGCTGATGCAAAACGTCAATAAAATTTTATGAAGGAGAGGAGAAAGTATTGGTTCGTGTTAGCCTGACGATAATGATGGTGATGATGGTGATAATGATGATGATGATGATGATGATGATGGTGATAATGATGATGATGAACGACAGACCCATCCTCGTCTTTTGGAGGACTAGACATAATACAACTGGGATGTTAATATGAAACTGGAATGCTGTCATTGTGGTTTTGTGATTTGTACGATGTATGCCTGTAGAAGAAACCCCATGTTTCGGAAGAACATGCAGCCTCCATCTTCATAATTCATTTCATCTGAAAGGAGGAGAATGCTTGTACTTCCGAAACGCTTTTATTCATCTAAGAAACTGAACTGCGTCACAACACAAGACGAAAATCCGAAAATTTACTTCCATGAAATTAAAGGAACGGTCTATGTTATGTAAATAGGTCGTTAGGGTGTGCGCTGCTTCGTCTGACTCAGATCAGAGTCCGTTTCCAGATTCTTATGAACAAAGTAATAAATATTTTATTACATAAAAGCAGATTATTTATTAAGTAACTGAGCAACTTTCAGGTTCTCAAGATTTGCTCTCTCCTGTTGAGTTAATTAAAAATACACAGCTCAGCTTTCCGGTTCTTTAGTATAGGAAGTGAGAGCTAATGCCGTAATTATCTGGTGTGTTCTTGTTAATATTGAAGCTTCTTTATTTTATTGTTAATTTCCTCTTAGGTTGGTTGGGTGAAGGCAGACACAAAAGCGATCCAGGCGATACATGATCACGTCATCACCCACAATCCACGTGTTTCCGTGTCACACAGTGATTACTCCACGTGGAATCTACATGTCAAAAATGTTCAAGAAGAAGACCGAGGGATGTACATGTGCCAAATCAACACAGACCCTATGAAAAGCCAGGTAAGGTAATGCAGTTTCATCACATATGTTCTCATTTCCGTGGTCATTTTATGCATCATAGTGTGTCACTATAGTAGTCAAAGTGGCTACTTCTGTATTATATGACAGATGACCATGGAGACATCAGTAAGAGTTACCTCACTTCGCATTTATACATAGTACCCTCGTAAGAATCATCATCATTAATACTGAGGCATGTCCGCTGAAAGAAGAAATAATTTAACACGAAGAGACGTCCTCTACTAGGTTATGGTAAAATAAAAAGCGACGCACCTCTCTAATACGTCATGCCACGCCACGCCACGCCATGCCACGCAACTCAAACAATAGAAATACCGCTGGAAATGGTGTTCTCTGTGGTCCGCGCCGATGGTTACGTAATGCAACAATAGAGAAAATGTGGAAAGCGGTGTTTTCTGTCGGGTCCGTCCAGAGGCTATATCAATATGACAAACCGGCCAGGCCAGTTAGTTATCCTGTGTGGAGGTGGGCTCGAAGACCTCCACCGTAGCCTTGATAGTAGTAGGAGGCGACAAGAATGGAACCCAGTGCCTGGAGGAACAACTGGGTCACACTATTCCTGGGTCATACTATTAATACGGGGACCTGACCCTCCAGGGTGGGGGAGTCTAAAATCTGAAGCATAAAATATGGTCATGAGTTTCGCGAGTTTCAAACCCGGAATGACTGCGCTGGCGAGGACGAGCAGCAATTGTGAACGACAGACCCATCCTCGTCAGAGAGAACGTTACATAAGGAATAAAATCGCAAGTTTTCAGTTCAAAATATTATGGCCGTGTGTTTTAAGGGGCTTGGCTCCAGGACGAAGTGATTAGCGGTAAACCACCGGCCGTAAAGTAACTCTGACTCTGACTGTGAGGCCAGTCAATTAAGAATTGACAGCTGAAGTTAGAATCTGGCAGTTGTAACTCAGTTCATTTCAGTTCGGCTCGGGAGCTGGAAGCTGGAGGAGGTACAAGCTGAAGCCAGCTGTCAGAATATGAGGTTCACTTGAGATGGTCGCCACCCTGCGCGGACGTGATGTCGGAAGCAATGGATCGCCCGCCGTTGGAAGCCGCCACCAAGCAACGTGACAGAGGGCATTATTCTGTATGTGATAATGATCCGTGAAATGTAGTCCCGATCTGTAAAAGTGTCCAATAAATCCAGTTATCAATCCAAAACTCATCTATCGTCACCCGAACTAGAACTAATAATATTATTATATTTAGAAAAGTATGAAGTTGGCAGAGATTATAATGAAGAAAAGTTGTACAATATTTTGTCAGAGAACCCGAAGAATTGTCTACGCTCTGAGACCTGCGAATACATAGAGGATAATATCAAAACTGACCTTCAATAAACAGATTACCAAGGTTTGAATTAAATTAGAAGTCTGGATATACACATCAAGTTTTATTCCTTCCAATTAATTATTTTTAAAACTATGTGACGTATGGAAAGGCATAATATATGTTTCATTCTCCTGTACATCTTTTCTTCGAAACACCATTTGCTCCAAACAACGCACGTATATCTAAACGTGAGTTGTGTATTTTTATCTTGCATGTTTTAACGAGGATTTGAGTGTGTCTACAAAGTTTAGTAAACCTTCACAGTATCCAATTTCATTGAGATCCTTCTGACTTTTCACGAATTGCCGTATCTTGGACGGGTAGACAATTGAGACGTTCCAAAGTTAATGGGCACATTTTTTACATATTTTCTGGCGAACACATGGAAGAGGAATATTTGTTGATTACATCGTCACTTATCTCATGGGTTTATTCTAGTTTAAATTTCACAGCAAGTATATATTAAATTATTATATGTGTATTTTTGTAGTTTACTTAACAATGCTGTCAGTAACTCATGCTATGTAATGTCAAATTGGGTGACAGTGAATAATTTATTTGAAATTATTTGAAAGGTAACTGTCAGGGCCTAATTTAAGGTACTCTGTCATCTTTTTCCTGGGAAAACTGCGGAAAGCTACGAGAAACCTCAGTAAGATAGCTGATGTCTTTCGAGATTCGAACCGTCCACGTCCCGAATACAAGACAGAAACATTAAGGCTTTAGCCACCTTGCTAGGTGTCTGTGAAATTACATGCAGTCGATAGAATTATGCTATCAAAGTTAGGCACTTTTAAGTTAATCATTCAACGTTCGATATATGTTTTGAAATCTACTTAATTTATCAATATAGGTTGAAGTGTTCAAAATAGACGCTGTTTCTTAATGCAGCCCAAGTTTCCGGAAAACAAGGAAAAGTTTCGAAGAGCATGGTCATCTGTGATGCAGTGCTGTGCAGGTGGAATAGACTCCGAAGTTTCGGAGGAAAATACCGTCTCTAGCAGAAGCTGACGGAAAAGTAGGCCCCTGTCTTGCGACCTGCTTCTGATGATTTCTTGCTCGGCTTATTTCTCGACCCAGACTAAGAAGGCGATATGATGTTCCAAAGACAGTCCATACTCTTCATAATCACCGCGGTGATAACCTCAAATCCAAAGACAAGGTTTGGTTTGCAAGGATGACACATATCTACTGGGAGTGGATTATTCTAGAGCCTGGCGTGTTGGTGCTGATTAGGAGTTAGCGGACAAGAATATTATGAGGATATTATTAGACGGAAAATATTTATTTTAAACCTTTTATTTACATACATGGTAGGAGAAGAGGTGGGCGGGGGCATGTAGCACGAATGGAGGAGAAGAGGAATGCATGTAGTATATTGGTGGGAAAGCCAGAAGGTAGGAGACTACTGGGAAGACCAAGGCGTAAGTGGGTGGACAATATTAAAATGGATCTTACAGAGATAGAGTGGGATGGCATTGATTGGATTGATCTGGCTCGGGATAGGGACCAGTGGAGGGGTCTTGTGAACACNGTCTTGTGAATACGGTAAAAAAACCTTCGTGTTTCATAAAATGCTGGGAAATTCTTGAGTAGTTGCAGATTTGGCTTCTGCTTAAGAAGGGCTCAGCTACATAAGTAAGTAAGTAAGTAAGTAAGTAGGAGAAGAGGAGAAAGAACACAGAGAGTGGGTGTAATTGACTGGAGTGAAAAGTGATAGTAGTATATAGATAGACATACGAGTGTATATAGTAGCTCACGCATGATAAAAGTTAATGCCAAATTTAGCGGATAGAGGGTGTCGCGTGGTCAGCGCAACGAATCCCCATGGCTGCTAATTTCGGTTTTCTAGACCAGAGCCGCTATTTCCTTGAAACAGCTCATCAATTATCCACACGAGGCTGAGTGGATCCCATTCCGGGACCACTACTTCTCAGAAAATCTGGTAGAGCCGGGAATCGATCCCGGACCTCTGACCACTAGACCACAGAGGCGGTCGTCGAAGAATAAACAAAACAAATTAAACAATGTCTCACGTAATTATCCAATCAGTCTTAGCGCCCACGAAATAAATCCAGAAAACTTAAAAAAATTTCGCGCTAGATCCTATGTGTAATTAAGAACTAAAGTATAAACTTACAGAATCTCATCATATTATGAATGGAAAGCTTCTTCATGCATCAGGTTCTGAAATCTAGATGCTGTCGAGTTGGATGTCTCTATGAAAGGTATCTGGGTCACAATTCATTCACACCTGTCTTTCAATCTCACAGTGATTCAATTGTTCATTTCTGAATATTAAACACTTCAAGTCACCGTAAACAACGTGCGTCAAGGCGTTGCATTACAGCGATAGCAAAATGTTTATTTACTGTCGTCACCTCTAGGTACCCTGTGAGGCGGGAAATTTCACATCACCTCCTTTCACACAGAACCAACCCCCATGTAGTGTGACTGCTAAATATTTACAGATAAATTATAATCTTCCTACACCAACACTCCATTGCTCCCCAGGGCTGCAGCGAAAATCTAAGCAATTTCCTCAACGCCAAGCAAAGCAAGAACCCGCTCTTTTACCATGATGTTAACAAATGTGCCTTGTACTCAACCTGGCTCCTTCCAAAGGCTCGTTAGATGAAATATCTATGTAAAGCACCTTTAACATTGTATTATGTTTCTACCTATTCTGCATGAAGGGAATCGTTCCAGCAAAGCCTCTAGTTATCATTACAAACTGCCATTGGCTCAAAGTGCATCACAACTCCTTCCAAGCCCCAGTAGTTAGTCACAGTCAAGCAGTCCCTTGTGAGACTTACTGAAGCCTTCACATGGGGACAGGTATTGCATTACAGCGGGTAACACAGCTTCGCTAAACGGAAAGTTTTATAATTTAGACAATACAGATGAGTGTAATCAGTTGCGTGGGTTGGAAACAGTATATTTTAAAGAATAACTAAGGTAAAACATCATTGATAAATAATATCCAAATTGTATTAAAATTGGAAATACAATTATTTACACCCTGCTTTTGCGGGGGAACTACCGTCATCGACTGTCATAATGGCATAAGCATCTGTTGACAGAATCTTCGGTGCAGTTATATTAGAAATGCTCTATAATCGTACAGGTACAGAAACCATTTGACTTTTAACACCAATATGTAACTGGATTACTGAGAGAGATACGTATTGTTGTCACATATCACAGCGATCACAAGATACAACGTTGAGTTAGTTCCATTGAATTTCCATAGTCGTAATCTTCTTCCCTAAGAGAAATCGTAATATTTCTCCATCACTTTCTAGATCTTCAAATGGTCACATTCTAGAATATTTCGCAGTATAATTATGCATGTCTTACATGTTACCCTTGTAGTAGCCAAATGATTATTTTAAGGTAGATTTCACAATTGTAGCAATGCTAGATAAGCTCTATAAGCCACAAAGTTCCGGGTAATATTCGTTGCTTACTTAATCCCTCTTAGGAAGAAACATTTTCTTGAGCGCCTGACCGCTTGTATACCCATCAAGTATTCAAGAAGAGTCTCTACATTGAATTACTTATTTAGGTACCTTCGTACTTTTCCCTGTATCGCCGTGTAGGTTGGTTCTCTTTCTCAGGAGTAGACCACAGATTGAAGTGCCT